CTAAATTACGTGTATGAAATCAGTTTCTGAGACTCGGTATCATCTGGGCACTGCTTTTATTATCACGACCCTACAGTACAGGAAACTCGCTGTGTGTGTTGAGCTTCCAAAGACCCCAGCCAGGGATTTAGAAGTTGCAGCTGTAATGGACTTAAAGTCGAATTGGAATACAAAGCACGGAAATTACACCAGTGCACTAAGCTGAAGAAGTGTTTAGCTTGAATGATGATTCTAAATGGTGTGTGTGTGTGTGCTTGAGACTGTTAATGTTAATAGAGCAGTGGATTTGTAGTGGTTCATTTTGTCCATGATATCTGTTAAACGTACACAAATATATTAGCTCAGATTTATGTTTAATATTAATGGTTTGAATCTTTTTTTTTTTTTTTGGCATGAGGATGAAAAAATTACTTTTTTTGTTTTTTCATCGGAAATTTCAAAACAGTGTTAATCTGTTAATCTCTTTCACATTATAAGAGTAAAGTTACAAGTCGTCATTTAATTCATGATTTTTCATAAACTCAAACTACTTTAATAATCCCTATAATATGTGTGTGTACATGTAGCCTATATACTTGTTTATATAACATACTAGCAGATACTTTTGGTGATATGAAAAGTGGTAGTTATTGATTATTAGATTTATCAACATTATTAGATTTACCTATCAACACAATAACAACTACATACAGTAGCAACGACTAAAAACAATCAGGGCACCTTAACAACCACATAGCAATGGCGTGGCAACCAACCACAGCAGCCAATCACAGTGATGACTCACAAGTGTTAGAGACTTAGTTATTTGCAATGTTTTTAATGCTGTTTTTAAATCATATTTTGTATATCATGAAGATGCATTTGTACTGATGCCAGATTTAGTGACCGTTCATACAGAACACGTTTTTAAAATTCCACTGCACTGCTTTTCCATTGTTTTCTATGTAAACATACGCTACATGGACATCTTTGACCATTGCACTCACATCTTGTGCCATTTGCGTTGTCTTTCGTATGATACAAAAAATGTGTATGTATATGATACACATGTAAAAGATACAATGTGTATTTAAATGCAAAACTGCATTTGGTGTGAACGGCCCCACTCATTTGATCTGAATAATGGTGATTTTTTATTTATTTTATTTTTTTGGTTTGCATCCATCATGTTCCAAATACAAATGTAAAATAGCCAAATGAACTGTAATTTTCATATGAAAAATATTTAATTCAGTGAATTATCAAAAACATTGGCGTTACCACATGATTATTTAATTTATAAAACAATTTGGTGTTCATTTATGTAAAAATAACTATATTATGGATTATGCTGTTGTAAAATAATGTAAAAGACTTACTTTTAAGCCCAGAAAGAGCATTACCAGGTTAGTAAAGGCTACAAAGTGAAAAGTATATGGAGAGAGGAAAAGATTAATGCGTGAAGTGAATAAGCTAATGGCGTGAAACAGGAAATGGGTTTAAAGTATGAGAACAATGAAGTGGCTGCGTGAGTGGAGGTTAAAAAAGATTGGTGCAATAGTGCAGTGAGGATAAAAAGAAAGCAGAATGATGGGCTATTGCAAGAACGGGAATTTAACATGCATGCACGTGAGGGATGAGGAAGGGAAAAAGAGATGGCAGAGAGGAAGTGATGTTATTCTGTTTGGAGGTTGCTGAGTCATTAGTGGGCCGGATGATCACTGATAGAACGAACACCCGGGGGCCAGCGCAGGGGGCGGGACCGCGTCACACGGCATCTGCGCTGAATAACAGCACGAGTGCGCGAGGCGAGAGCACACGCTCCGCGGGACAGCCCGTGCTGTAAACACCACGCATGTCATGCATTCTGCTGAAAACATCAGCTTATGACTTTCCAGGCTGGTTAGGTGCTAGTCTGGTGCTGGCTGACCAAGAAAGTCTTGCTGGTTGATGAAATAGAACATTATTGCATGACTTGTGGAACACAAAAGTTTGTATTTGGTGAAAGAACACCAGGTTGGCAATGACAAGAGGGAATATAAATGATGCCCAAATCTTCCATTACACTTTCCTGCATCTTGCATTTTAAATGCAAAAATGCATTTTGTGTGAATTGCTCTTGAGTGATCTTGTCTTTTAGTTTGCGCACATAAAGTTCAAAAATTAAAGCAGAAAATAACCTGTAATTAATTAAGTGACGTGACATGGCCAAGTATGGTGACCCATACTTGGAATTAGTGCTCTGCATTTAACCCATCTAAAGTGCACACACACCGTGAACACACACCCGGAGCAGTGGGCAGCCATTTATGCTGCGGCGCCGGGTTACAAGTCCAAGTCTCTAACCATTAGGCCACGACTTCCCCACCTCGTCGACACCCCATTAACTCGATGCATTACCAAAGAATTGGCTATACGACATGTTAATTTAATATATAAAACCATTTAGGTTTGATTTCCATCAAAAATTACTGTTGTGATATATATATATACTGTTGTAAAATGAATCATACTGTGATTTAAGCCGTTGGTCGTGATGCCAGAATTTGCGTTTTTGAGCAAACCATTCCTTTAAGCAAGGAAGCCTTGTGCACAAACCACTGCGCCAGCAACACATCTTAAAGATGTTTGCGAACAGTTTTGGTCGTCTTGTCAAAAAGGGCTTAGCTTTGCACACCAAAGAAAACAGCTATATGTGTGATGGGTGTTCCTCTCCCTGTGTAGGTTAATGCTTCCTGTCACCCAATAAGACAGCAGAGCGCGTGGTGCTGTCTATAGAATGGTCCCCTCCTCTTTTTTTTCTCTCTAACTATGCAAGTGTTGTGGTTTTTCTGATCTATTGCTTTCTTCATGTACTAAACCTTCATTTTGTCATGCTTCAGGGCTTCTAACGGAACTTTAAGAACGCATTTACTTCTCACGCAGAGTTAAACGTTCACAGGCGTCCGAGAGGGCCGCGCGCTGGTAAATGAGGATGTGGGGAACGAGAATGGGGAGATTGGTTCCAGTTGTGTCGCAACACGTCTGGTGCAGCCCATGTGCGGATTTTTTTAACCTTTTGATCAAATGAAAAGATTGCAAATGGCAACTGTGATCTGATTCTGAAGGAGGGACTGCACACGTTCACGAGCTGATTCCACGTCGAGAACCACGGACCCGTCGGTGACTCGTATCAGATGTCTTTGACACTTTCAACTTCCTCAGTCTTCCTCTTCACATCAAAGATGTCCTTACAGATATTTCTGCCTCTGACCTGTGGCATGTTATAAAACAGCCTGAGCGATATTAGTCACTCTCTTCCTGTACTGGAGAGCTGAATGGGTGAGTGAGTAAAAGTGAAGAATCTGTATCGTACCAGCTGAGTTGAAGAGATGCCGTCAGCGATGTGGTGATGAGCTAAACTGATACGCTTTGTTAGCGTTCATAGAAAGTTGGATTCATTGAACAGTTTCGGTACACAGATTCCTGCGTCAGTAGATGCGCAGCGTAAACCAAGAGATGAATTGTTCACACACGCTAGAATATCAAAACTTTACATGATGTATGAAAACCAATCTCTTTGACACAATATAGAGAATTTATTCTGACTAAAAAGAGGATAGGATGCTGATTGGTCAATACAATAGTAATGACAGATCTTGTCTTTTGTTTTTGTGACGTATATGAGAAAGGATTATTGAATAAAATGTAGGGTTGTTGGTTGATTGGAGAAGTTCCACAAATTTCACGAGAAGTCTGTAGTTTCACCAGAAGATAGAATTATGACATTTTGATTAAAAATCTCCGTTCTGAAGAAAATTTCAGCACAGTGCCCAGTCCCTACATTTAGAAGCAAAGAAAGTCAGCGCGAGAAAACTTTAATACTTTAAAGTTTAAAGTTTTAACTTTAAAACTACTGTGAACATTAATAAATATGCACACATTTGTAAGATGCGCATAAACATGCATCACAGCACTACACATGCACACAACTTTTTCGAAGCCAAGGGGGAAAGAACTCCGATTCAAAGATTTATACGGCTAAAATATTCCAGTTAGGCAGATTAAGGGCTGGATTTACTCAAAAGGACAAATTAGCGTGAGAGCGCAATCCTATAAAAGCGCAGATGGGAGTAGAAAGTTCTGCTGGTGATTTACTGACAATGCACAAAATAAAGAAAAGCACAGCCGATGATAATAAGGTACATTTAATCTACTAACAACACAGGCTCAAATCGTTAAGACGTGTTTTTTTGGGGGGTGGTAAACAATGGTGCAAATACCAGTAAATCGACTACCGCAAAACAGTAGTAAATGATGTTGCGTGATTCATTTAAATGCTTTCCTCCTCCCATAATTTTTTTTTTCTGGAAGGGAAACTCCTACAAAAGCATATGCAATAAAGGCAGCTGCAAAAATGACTGTGTCCATGCTTATAAGCGCTAATTTCTCACTGCACGTTTTTAGTAAATCCTGACATTAGTTTTTTCATGTTAAAAGAGGGTTTGCGTTATTAAATCCCCAAGTTCTTCAACGCCCCTCAACTTGTTTGTAATTTCATTTGAATCAAGCTCAGTTGAATTGATTGGTGTTTACATGAAGACTTTTCAATCCAATTTAGCCATCAATCCAATTATAAACATATTATTAGTTTGCATTTAAGCGTAGCTTATGAAAAGGAATAATGTATGGTTTTGTTACTGCAAATTACTTTCTATATAAATATGCAGCACCCATAGAGTCCACATATTAACCTTTGCTTGAATATACTGCATTAGCTTCAAAATAAGGCTTAAATGAAGTGTGAACTTGATAATTTTATCATTAAGCAACTCGAGGCAGTGCTATACTGTGAACGCAGCCATACACAATATACTTTAGTTGCTGCAATTAGGGTTGCAACAGGGCAGAAAATTTCAGCTAAATTTCCGGAACGTTTCCAAACTTTCTGAAAAGTTTCCAGAAATGTACTGGAAATATTCTGCACCCTAGCCGCAATATAGCACCGTCAGTTTTTAATGTTGTTCATCTGTTGTTCGCAGTGATTCCCTGCTGTGCTTGTTACTGCAATGAATGGTAACACTGTCCAGCAGACCACAAGCACTGCACCATCCATAGCACCTCCTTGTGGATGGAGGGAGTTCTGTGAGTTGCATGCCAGCACCACGGCCCGAGAACTTGCCCAGCACTACCGGCACTTCGTCAGAGAGCGGCCGGTGCAGGATGTGGTCCCGCCGGAAAGTTTCTCGAAGCAGTTCAGCGCCCTCTTCCAGCACCACTTCAGCTGCGAGGTGGCTAAAGATGCAGAACCCACCTTGCGGCCACCACCGCCTCCTCCCTTGCTACCCATGACTGGCCGCTTACGCATCACTTCCTTCTCGGGGGTGCTGGATTACCGGGAGACCATGCGGCCAGGAGTGACTCCGCTAGTTGCCGTGTTGGCGCCCAAACCAGATGCCGCTGGCATCCCTAGAGAACAGGAGCAGTTGCTGCGATGCTCTCCCGCAGACACTACACACAGAACGCGGCATCATAGCCAGGAAGACGAACACCTGGAGCGGAGGACTGGGTCTGAACGATACTCGCCCCCTTTGTTTTCCTTCCCTTCCCGTAGTGACGTAACCAACTTTTCCGTCAGGGGATTTCGAAAAAGCGTATGCCGATTCTTTAAGAAATCCCCCCAAACTGATGAACCTTCAGGTGGTTGCCCAAGGGATGATTCGATCAAGGGTGGCGGACCCTTTGCGACTGTTGAATGCACCTCTCAAACCCCACCTCAGACTGTGCAGGTACCTGCCCATCGCACTTCGCAGAAGGGTGCGCGGTGGGAACGATGGAATCTGTTGCGAACTGTGAGACAGAGGCAAGAGACAGGAAGTGTTTGTAAAGAGGGGCAGCTGCGGTACCTGGAGGTGGATGACACTATCTCAGACACGCCCCCACTTTGGCTGCGCTGCCACCTGCAGGTCAGGAGGATCAACGAGCACACCGCTAGTGAGAAATACCAGCTGGAGCTCTATGACCCACCAAAGGTAAGGCGAACTTTCGAGATCTTCATATCTTTCAAGAGTGACTACTGCTGTTATTTTTGGCCCGATTTGATAATTGTATTATTTGTAGTTCTTGTTGGCTTATAATAGCTTGGTATATTGGTCGGATCTTTTATTTTAGATTATTTTTTTGAAGGAGGTGAACTATTTAAAACTTAGCAAAAAAAAAATCAAATGGAAATTTGGAAAATTCTGTCATCTTTTACATTAAGATATGGCACATCAGGATGTGTTGCACGAAGTTTGACGTCGATGACAAATCATCTAGTTACATTTGTAAATTTTGGAATGGAAACTGGTGTCTTGTCTTGAAGTGTTTATGTGTATATGCAAATATAAAATGAAATTAAAGAGCTACATTAAAATATGGCACGTCAGTGTATTGCAAGAAGTTTGTTGTCAATTACCAGTCATGCTAGAACCAATTTCATTTGTAATCTGGCGTGATTTGTTTTGAAGCATTATATTTTTTAATGTGAATGCGAATTATGGGCTATGCTGTGTTTAGTTAATAAAAATGTAAAGTTCTTTCACATTTGTTCAAATATGGCATGCCAAGATCTGTTGCCAGAAGTTTAATGTTAATGAAAAATCACAAAAGAACCAATTGCGTTTTAAAATTTTGGCATGATATGCAAATATTGAATTGCATATTTAAATGAAATGAAAAGATTGAAGAGCTCCATCATGTTTAAGTTAATAAAAAATGTCATTTAAAGTTCTTTCACATTTGTTCAAATATGGCATGCCAAGATCTGTTGCCAGAAGTTTAATGTTAATGAAAAATCACAAAAGAACCAATTGTGTTTTAAAATTTTGGCATGATATGCAAATATTGAATTGCATATTTAAATGAAATGAAAAGATTGAAGAGCTCCATCATGTTTAAGTTAATAAAAAATGTCAGTTTCATTCAAGTATGTATTGCACAGAATTTGATGTCAATGACAATGCCATGCAAGAACCAGTTGCATTTGAAATTGTTGACGTCACATGATCTGACGTGACTTGTCTTGAAGCGTTATATTTAAATATGTCTAAACGTAAACTATGTGTCGTAGCTATAACAATGTGAATTTCATTCACGTATATTCAAATATGGCATGTCAGTGTGTTGCATTATGTTTGTTGTCAATGACGTCATGCAAGAACCAGTTGCCTTTTTGCGTGACTTGTTTTGGAGCGTTATACCTAAATATCTGCAAATATGAATGACTTAATTCGTGTATATTCAAATATGTCACTTCAAGATGTGTTGCACAAAGTTTGTTTGCAATGACAAATCACACAAGAACCAATTGCATTTGTAACTGTTGTCTTGAAGCCTTATGTTTAAATATATGCAACCGTAAATGAGATTTGAGAGCTGTGCTGTGTTTTAGTTAATAAAAAATTCACATATGGCACTTCGAGATGTGTTGCACCAGGTTTCATGTCACTGGCATGTGAGAAGAACCAATTGGGTTTGATAGCAAAAATGGTGAGAAGGGTCATGATGAGGCCTTAAATTTGAATATATGTGAATACAAATGTGAGCTATGGCAGAGGGGAGGATTTTCAGCAAATAACAACTTTTAATATAATATTTAGCAAGTTTAAAACAGATCTTGCATTCTGCTGCGTGTATCCTTTTGTGCTACATAGATTTAAAACAAGGATGAGTAAATGATGAAAATGGCATGATTCATCTAGTATGTGATATTTTCACATTAACACTCATTTAGCCTAATTAATCCACCCACATTTAAGACAAACTGCCAACTTGAAACAGGATCTGATTGATACTATTAAGTGTAATGAAACTAATAAGGACAAAATTACGGTTTCGTCTGCCTTTCTCTCCACCTTGCTCCTGGTTACACAGCATGATAGCCTAATTGCTAGTTTTGCTAGTTCATTCAGGCAGCAAATGACGTCTGCTCACTTTAGGGGTCACAGCACGGCTGTATGAAGGCTCTGATTGGCTGCTGAGGAATCTTGGCAGAGAGGCGAGGACTTGCTCTGAATGTCTATGTAAGGAAAAGGCAACGTAGGCCAAGAAAGTTCAAACACTTAAAGTGTATACACTCCAATAAATGTCAGAAGCATGCACACATGTTTTAGTGTCAAATTAGTGATGCATTCTTGTTTTTTTTTTTTTTTTAAAGAGAGAAACAAACATGTAGGCTTTTGCTGTGCATGCATCGTAGTTTATTTCGCTACATGCATCTTACGTATGTGTGTGCTTAATGTGTGCACTGGTGTGTGAGCGTGGAGGCTGCATTATAGAGTGCACACTAGTCCATGCCTTGATTCTGTAACTGTGCACTCTATGTTTGGTGTGTTCACTACAATAGCAACAGTGAGGGCAGCTATGCTAAGAGAGGAAGCTGCAGGCTGGCTGATCATTTCTTTGCGTGAGAAACTTTGTTTCAGGGAAGTCCTAACTTTAAAACCAGCCTGTGCACAGCAGATAAATTAGTATGATTATCTGCTGTCAGATTTCACAGAAGTGTTGTATTATTATCAAGTTAAAAATGACTAGCTCGACCAGAGACAAAGTGCTAACATATTGTGTGCATGTATATATATGTGTGTATAGCAATGTGACTGCAGAAAGCCACGAGCGACCAATCAGAATCAAGCATTGGAAAGACAGCCTTGCAATTTATATGTGTCGCAAAACTGTACGCTTTCTTATGTGTATATGATGTTTTTTGGAAGGCTTGAGAAACATCTGGTGTTGGCCTCAAATGATGTTCATTAAACAGGGCTTCTAGGGCTGGAGACCACAGCCCTTTAATTGCCGATGTAGTCTGAACAAGTTTGGTGGAGTGCTTAGAAAGTTTGGTAAAAGCTTAGAAACTTAAAATGAAAAGAAGATTAATACGGACACCATGAAATCCAGCAGTGTGCAATGCATTTGAGCTCATGAAGTGTGTGGATTTGTGGATTGGATGAAACTTTATAGACTTGTATTTGTGTTGTATATGTCGAAGTCTTCTGATGTGGCTTGTTGGTGTGTGATCAAGCAAGAAAGAAAACAGGCTGTATCAAAGTTAGATTTCAGATTTTGAAATTATTTTCGTGTCTTGTTTTTTCTAGTATTATTTGCTGTACAACAATTGCAGCCAGTGCTGTGGAAAATATTTCTAATTCTAGAAAACCGCATCCTCCCATCTGGAGCGTGTTAGAGCTTCACGGTGACCTTATGCACATGCAGATGCTCACACAACTACATCCAGAGTCGTTTCAACTCTTTTAACAAGCCAACAACCAAATCAGATCAGCAACACAGTATTTGGTATAAAAACAGGCTGCACGGATTTAAACTGAAACTAATGTCCAATTGCATAAGATATATGGTAGTTGTTTGTGTTTTTGCTTGCGTTTTTATAAAGTGAAATATTGATAGCACATCTTACAGGCCACCTTGGTTCTGGCAGTATTTTTCTTATTTATTTTCTTCATAGAGATTTCAAAAAATATTGAAGCAAGCCAGCTAGCTCTGAGATGATTCACAACTTGCTAACTTAGCTATATGAAGCAAAAAAAATGCATTAAAGTAAAAAAAAAAACTGAAAAGACACTATTCTCCATGGAGAAAATGAATGTGATTTTTACTTGCAGAATCTGACTGTTAGGCTCTGAAAATTTCCTCACCGTCACAACCCTAGTGGACGCATAAATTGACATAATCCAAATGCAATTGCAAATCTTGCATTACTGTTTGCGTTTTCACTTTTGCGAACGCACAGTGACTGCCAAATTTCAAATGAAAAAGCAAAGTCCATTTGCAACTGTATTTCCCATGTCTTACGAGTTATGAGCCTGTCATATTTAAATAACAATATTAATTACCATACCTGCTTTTTCACTCTTTCTGTGTCGTGCATGTAACCTGCCAAAACTCAAATGGAATCGCAATTCCTTTTGCATTTGAATTTCCGATGTCAACACGGAAACCTGTCAATCAATATCAGGGGCGGGACTATAATTTGGGGCGTGTTTGTTTTGGGAGGTGACGTCAGTAAAACAGTAAGGAGGCTGCATTAACATTTTAAGAATTTATTGCTAAACTAGTGCTTTCTTTATTCTTTGTTTAAGAGATGAAGTCGGCGACACTGACTCGTCATCTTTGCAGCAGTGGATGCGTCTGTCTGCATTTTAATAAGGATTACATAATCTGAGAATATTTGTTTTTCATTTGAATTGGCTTATTTGAAAGTTGACATTTCGCTCTCTATAGATTTATTTTTTTCATGTCTGTAAGACAAATTATACATGGAGTTTCGTTCTCAAGTTCACAGAGACTGAGACGCCAGAAAGCGCATCCTGTTTGCTTTCATTATTTTACAAAAGCGCAATGTTTTGTTGTTATTGTGAGTGCACAAAAATAAACGTAGAGTCTTTACAGATTTGAAAGATGTATTACTCTTATCTGTATGAGCAAAAATAACAGAGTATTTTAAAAGCAAGTGAGCGCACCGGCGCCTCCATCTGTCCTGCAGTGAGTGTTCAGCCTCCACACTCCGCACAGACACTTCAATAGCGCACATTTCTCTAGGGTAACATTACATTGAGCGGCCATGTAAAGTTGCTAAGATAAGATAAGTTGCTTCAGATGATAAGCCATATTTAAGGTCGATGAATGATAGGCGAGCATTTGGATGTCCTGCCCAATGTAGCCTACTGTATTACCACATAGACCACCCGTTAACGATCCGTGTGACTTCGCCAATGTGGATTTTTATTTATTTATTTATTTTCTGCGATTAAGCGACTAATAAAATTTTGGTCGACCAAGCCTCTTCTGGTCGACAAACGGTTAGTCGACTATTAGGGGGCAGCCCTATATATAATGCAATTTGCAATTCCTTTTGAAAAAAGTCCTGAATATTCTTCCATAGAACTGGCTCACATGAGTCATTTAGTCCAGAATTGGACTACGTTGGCCATGCTATAGGTTTGTCATTGTGTGCAGTCGGCAACGATCCAGACAA